CCCCAACCCCCCAGGCCCCCTCCCAGCCACCAGGGGAACAGGTTTTCCGGCTCGCCTCCTCGAATCATCAGGGCACCCTGCAGCCTGTCAGGGGTTGAGACACGAACACAGAGAACCACGAAACCCAGTCTCATGGGCAGGTGACCACCACCTGCCAGGAGCAGGGATGAGCCACATCTCGTCCAGGCCACACGGTTACTCCTATGCCCTCTCCCTTCCTCGGCCAGGGAAGCTGAGGCAGTGGGCAGGGGAGCTGGACAGGACTGGGAGCCGGCTGGGGACTTGCAGAGGGTGGCAGGGAGTCTGCTGTCCTGCTGGGGGCGCCCGGCCAGGCCCGCACGCTCTGCTTGCTGAAGTGTTGACCCAGCGTGTCAGGATGGACTCACTGTCTTGAAATTCACTGTTGGACATATTGTGGGAATCACCTGTGCTGCGTTCCAGATCAGCGCCGTGAGGGTGCAGGGGCCACCTGACTGTGCGGTTTCCCTCTGCTGCTTCTGCCTGGGTTAACCAGAAGGACCCAGGCCAGCCGGGCCCGGCCCGTGCCCCGTGAGGAGGGACCCTGGCTCTGGCTCGTGAGCTCCAAGGCCTGGAGTCCTACCTGGTTAAATTGTGTTTATGAGGCTGATAGTCATCATTTCCATGGGTGTAATCATGGCGAGGGTGACAGAAGTCACAGTGGCCACAGGACGGCGTGAAGCTTGAAGCTGCCCTGCTCAGCCGGTGCCTCCGTGTGTGGAGGGCAGTGCCTCCCGGGTGCGGTGGGTGTTTGTGCCTGGCAAGGGCTTTAGGTGGTCTTCCTCTTCCAGTGGAACCAGGTGATGGAATTTTGTTTCATTTTGGAATTTGTAGATTGGGCCCTAAAGGCAGCCTTCCTTTGTCATCTTGGGGCCTTTTTCTGCCAGCCTGTTCATCTGGTTAAGCCAGGTCTCCACGCCTGCTTTCGATGAGTCCTGCCCTCCCCTGGGAAGCCTCGGCCTGGCCTTTGGGCCCGGTGGCTGGCAGGGCGGCAGAGAGGTTCCGGCGGGAGCAGGAGGAAGAGGTTTGCTTTGCTGCTGGGGCCTCGCCAGCAGCCGGGCACGGTCCTGGAGCCGGCACAGCCAGCTCTTGCTCAGCAGCCTGTGGCAGTTCTGGCAGAAGGCGCGCTGCACGCAAGGCGCTTTAAAGAGTTTGTTTTTGTTGAATGTTTGAGAGGTTGGGTTTTCCTAAAGAGAAAATGATCTGAAGCCTCCAGGCCTGTGGGAATGAGATGATGTGGTGAGTGGAATCTTATTTGGATCCAGAGGAACTTCGAGTGACATAGTCTCTCTTTCCTAAAGAGAAAATGATCTGAAGCCTCCAGGCCTGTGGGAATGAGATGATGTGGTGAGTTGGGATCTTATTTGGATCCAGAGGAACTTCGAGTGACATAGTCTCTCTCTCTCTAAGTTTCAGATGATTTTCTGGTGTGGTTTTAATTAGGACATAAACAAGTGCAACTTTATTTGCAGATTACTATTTCGGGGGCAAGTTTGTATGCAATGTCAGGTTTTGAATCTTTTCACCATTATCTGCTCGTAGAACTTGCCTTTGGATGCAGTAAAGATGGCACGTTCTGGTTAGTTGTGTTTTTTTAGTCCATTTGGGTTTGGCAGTGGTGGCCTTTTTTCAGTGAAACTTTGATGAAAATTGTAGCGAGGTGGTTGGGAGTCAGGGAATATGGCTATTAGGTGGAGGGAGAGAGGGATGGAGTTGTCATTTTGGGCACTGACTTTCGTTGCCTGAGGACTCTAATTATGGAAGGTATAGGACATTGTTCAGCATGGGTCCCTGCCCAGAATCCTTTAGCTTCTTTCTCTCCTGCTGTTTAAGAAATGCAGTGCTGGTTGTTGGTTTGATTTGCTGAGATTTGCTGGCTGCTGGATCCTGGGCTCAACGTTGCTTCCAGGTATTGGGTTCTGGTCAGTAGAGGTGCACAGGTATGTCTGGGGCAGCAGCCCTCAACTGTAGTGGGGTACAGTGGGGAGACCCCGTGGTCAGACGGCCCATGGTGCAGCTCTGAGCTCCTCGAGGGCAGGTATACCTGATATCGGAAACAGAAGCTGCTGCTGAAAGTCAAGTCCTCAAACCTGTGTGGGCAGAGAAGGGGAGGACTGAGCAGGTCTTGTCCATGTGGCGCCCTTATCAGCTACGTGGCCAGTTCCAGGCCAGAACTGAAAGAAAAAGAGCGGATGGGGCCGCAGCCAGGAACAAGGGCAGGTGTGTATGGGAAAAGGTGGACGCTAGAGACAGGAGTCGCTGCCTCTCTGGAAGGCCCAGCGGGGAGGGCTGGGCGTGTGAGCTCAGCCAGGGGCTCCTGGGGTGCCTACCAGCCCAGCGCCTTGCAGCCCCCCTGCAGGAAGCCAGGGTGTTGGGTGGGATGGGGGTCCCAGGGAACGGCCTGTCTGAGGTGTGAGGTCGGATCAGGATGTCCTGAGACCATGAGAGAGTCCCTAACACACAAGAAGTAGATTTTTGGAATCTGTGTCAAT